TACACATTACAACAAACAAGAATAAGACATCTCCCCAAAACAATACATGTATAGAAATAGAAGAAAGACTTTACCAATACTGAAGTACTCTCAGACTTTTCAGTATACATGCAAATTCTCTCAATATTTCCCCTCCCACACACAATTATGCAGTTTATTACCGGAACAAATGGGCCCCATCTTCCCTCTGGCCCATCATCACTCTGGGCCCATTTCCACTCTAGCCCGCCAGGCTGCTTCAGAGTCAGCATCATCTCCTCTGGAAATTGAAGGCCTTTATTGCGAAGGCGAAAATGACGGCAAACAGCACACAGAAACCAACCACCATCACGCCAGCCACCCCCAAGAAGTCGTGCCTGTACCCGAGGAAAACCCGGAGCACCACCTTCACCGGCGCCGACTGATTCCCGTCCAGCAGCTTCATCGGTGTTACGTCGTTGCCGTACTGCGACGTCAGCAGGCCGTATAGAGTCCATGCTATAGGGTTGGCCCAGTAGTACCATCTCCACCATATGGGAATTCTCTGTTACGCAAGAAACACAGAATTAGATGTTTGATTTTTTTGCTCTCCATTGAATCGAAGGGAGCAATGTGTTTGGAGAAGAGTACAAACTATTAACCTTGTGAGGGATCATGAAGCCGCTGAAAAGATTCCAGAGCATGTAAAAGGGGGCGGAGACGACGGAGGCGACGTTGTGGTTGGGAGTGAGGGCGGTCATCATCATGCCGTAGAAGGTGAAGTAGAGCATGGTGAAGTACATGAAGAACATGTACCAGATGAACTTGAGAGCCGTCCACTCGAACGCGGCCATGGAGTAGAATATGGAGCAGTAGATGACCGTTTGTCCCAACACGTAGGGGAACTCGATCACAACCTTGACAAAAAAGGTAACAAGGACATGATCGTGAAGGATGGAGGTGGTGAGAAGACAGAGATGTGAAACTTAACGTAGAGGTGGATGAAAAGAGGCGGCAAACCTGAGCAAATGCAAATGGTAAGGCTGAGTACATTCCTGCGGCTCTTTCTCTGTACGAGACAAACCTTTCGATGGAAACGACGGGCTGAACAGCACCTGCGTTCGTGATCCCGATGAACAGGACTGCCGCGTACATAGAACCCATGGCGTTAAACAGCTCTTGCACGGTTTCCCTGAGAAAACAAAGGTGAAATGGTTTAGTGATTTTGATGATGTGGTAAGGAGGCTGCGCCTCGAGGGTACAGAGCCAGACCTTTTGGAGCCGAATTTCCAGCAGATGGATCCAAGCATTAGTGAGATCACAACGGTGTAGAAGAAGCGAACTGCGGTGTATTGGGGGTTTCGCCAGTAAGACAAGTTCTGCTTCCAAAGGCATGCCAGGAACTGGTTGAAGAATGACTGGGAATATTTCGTTGGGAAGTTCAACTCTTTGGCTTCACCACTGGGCTTGCTTAGAGTTTCAATCAAGTCTTTATTATGCCTGAGAGAATGATGGCAAGCATAAATCAGTGGATACCACAGGAAGGGTGACGAAAGTGCAGAGATAGAGTGATATTGAACTTACTGATATAGATTAGATTTCCTGTAAATCTCTGCAAAGTCCACGTCAAGCCGGGTTTCTTCGGATGAAGAAGTAACATCAAGCATCCAGGCAGCAGGGTTGTAGCCTGGTTTGATCTTTTGCACTCCATCAATGGCCTAAAGAATTACAAGGTAGTCTGAGTTGAGAACTTAGATTAACATGGCAACTTTCGAATAAGAGCATTTCTACATGTATCAGAACAGACCTCAAAGTACTTGATGAGTTGACAAGACTTGGGGCCAAGGGGTCCTGCATATATAACCTCTCCTCCACGCTTCATAAACAACAGCTGCAACCAAAATCAACTGCATTCAGCAAGACAACATTTTTTTGTGTTGACATAGACAAATTGACACCAGAGAAGAGAAGAATCACCTCGTCAAAGGATTCAAAGATGTCTATGCTTGGCTGGTGGATGGTGCAAACAATTGTTCGCCCGGTATTCACGATATTCCGAACTGTCCTCATAACGATGGCTGCAGCCCTTGCATCCAACCCTGAAGTAGGTTCGTCCATGAACACTATAGATGGGTTGGCAACCAATTCCACGGCAATAGTTAACCTTTTCCTCTGTTCTGTCGACAGACCATGTACTCCAGGGAGGCCAATCAATGCACCACTCAACGGGGTGAGCTCCACAAGTTCCATCACCTCTTCAACAAACGCCTGGAGAAAAATAGTTCCACAAGACGGTTAATATAAAATCCTGCATCTGAGATTAGACAGCTGATATAACAAGCATGTTGCTACCTGTTGAGTCTCCATGTTTATTTCAGGTGATAACCGAAGCCCAGCAGAGAACAGAAGTGATTCAAGGATAGTCAGGCAAGGAGAATGAATATCGTTTTGCTCGCAGTAACCAGAAACTCGAGCAAAGGTCTCCTGCTTTTTGGGATAACCAGATATGTTTATTGTCCCTTCGATAACACCTCCTGTTTTCCTGCCAGCTAGGACGTCCATGAGGGTTGTCTTACCAGCACCACTGACCCCGACCAGTGCTGTGAGGATACCTGGTCTGAAAGCTCCAGTAACGTTTACCAACAGTTGCAGCCTGTCTTCTGCTATCCCTTGCTGTTTCAACTCCTGAAATATAAGAATGTGGTAAGAAGTTCCGAGAGATTCTTCAACAAATTATTCCATGGATAATTAGAACAACATTCTCACCAGAGGGACATCCACAAAGTAATTGATGTTGCTGAAAGACATTGAAAGGGGTTGAAATGGAAGAACCATCCCTTTCTTCTTGAAATATTTTCCTGCTCATGAGTAACAGGACAACTTAAACACAGTTCATGGTATGATGTGGTTGAAAGTATTATGGGGGAAACGGTTGCGACGTGCACTGACCATTTATCGAGTTTGAATTCTCCAAATAATGTCTTAGTTCAACAACGATCTCTCCACTTTTCCTATTCTTCTCTCTCTCTTGCAGCTCATCTCTGGAGACGACGGACTGTTGTATTCCCAAAGCTGCAGAAGACAATGGCAACATAATAAGCGTGGCAAAATCATTCAAGTTCTTCTTCATGCTTCAAGTGAGAATCTTATCGATAAAATTTCTTACGATTGAGGCAAGAGAGGAAGCAAGTGAACAGGGAGTTGAACAACCCTGTATATCCTAGCAAAGCAGCAAGGCCAATCCAGTACCAGTAGCTTTCATGGAATAAACTGCGTGATTTTAGTAGTGCCTCCCCAAGATTGCTGATAGTACCATTCGCAGCTTTCTAGATAGGCAAATAAGAACTGTTAATTCCTAAAATGAAAAGCTGATGATAACGAACAACTGCAATTTGTTTCTCGCTTCCTTCTACATAGGAAAGACAACAAATATCAAGGTGACGTCTGAATGATTATCACCTTATGCCAAGAATGACCCAGGAACTCGTTGACTGAAGCAGCATTTTGTGCATACATGAGAGGAGACACCCAGAATCCCATATCCACCAGCTTGGTATACGGTCTGCAGCAAGGGTTGCATAGTCAGAAAAGAGCAGTTGAATGAAACTTCAATATATTACCAAGCAGGATCAGGAGTTTCACCTCTAGAGACAATGTATCCTCCAAGGGCCATGACAACCAACATAGCAAATGATCCGAAGGTGTTGGCCACAATCATATTACGACCCAAGGACCCCATCACCCGGAAGAGAGCAATAGATGTTTGGTGCAGAAAGAAGTACAACAAAAACTGAAGCAAGAATCTGCGAGTATATAAGATCAATTTTAATGTTGGACAGCAGTGTTGCTCATGATATGTATGCAAAACAGCTTACATCTTACCTTATTATATTGGGATCATAACCAATTACGTAGTACGTAACAGCCACCCAGAGACCAGACTCCATAAGTGAAGTTGGAATGCTTAAGATCCAAGAAGGAATTGTGTATGCCCAGCTTGGGTAGAAATGCAAATCCCTGTGTTTGTACAGCACTGGCAGCTTTGCTACCAGCATTGAAACCTCCGTAAAACCATTGAAAAGGATGATGACCATGGAAAAGTACTGAGCTCCAACATACAAGCCTCCATCATAAATTGAATCGTGATGCATTGTTGTGCGGAAAAATACACTCATTGTGATCAAAGCAACAATGAAAAGCTGCAAAACAAATCGAAATGAGGTCAGCTTCCAATATTAGAAACTAAAAGGAGCAGGTGTTGGTAAGACGATTGGGATCCAGTTATGAGGTATGTACCTGAACGAATTTGAAAACGTAAATAAATGAATTCCGTTGAATAAGTAGCCTCTGCCAGTTATAGCACGTCTTGAAAAGTTCACTTTTGCTGACCCCATAGCGAGAAGTTGACAGTGCTGCTGGATGATTGTAGCGCTTATCGAAAGGAACTTCTAGCTCTTCGTGCATATGTTTACCTGTTCGAAATGAACGAAAAGCCTCAACAAACTTCCTTGGTGGAATGTATCGGTATGGACGATAAGAGTTAGACCAGTATTGCTGCTGATCCTTTTTCGATGTGACCTGCAAAAGTGGGAATTTCAACTTTTGTAAGTGACAAACTAAGAACACTGGTTGGATATCTACGATTTGCTCTACATGAGACTTACTTCCTGCAAAAAGTCTGCCACATTCTTTCTCTCAGGACAGCTAAATCCCAGAGATGAGAAGAACTCAAGAACGGTCTCACGGGGTCCCTGGTACACAATCTGCCCTTCAGACAGAAGTATGACGTCATCAAAAAGCTCGAACGTCTCAGGGGCAGGTTGCAGCAATGAAATCATGGTTGTCCCATCAACTGCACGAGTTGAATGCCTCAGATACTTTATGATTTGGTAAGTGGTGGAACTGTCTAGCCCGTTGGAGATTTCATCCATGAAGAGTACTCTTGCTGGACCAACTAGTAGTTCACCTGAAAGTGACCATTGGAACAGCAACATAGTTTCAGGTTCAAGAGGTAAACAGAGGATGAGCCCACAAAGTGGAAACTATATAGTGGAAGAGATGCCTACTATCCACCTGTTGTGAGCCGCTTCTTCTGACCCCCGATATTCCTTCAGCATTTCATCACCCACCAAGGTGTCCGCGCATACATCCAACCCTAAAATCTTTGTCAGACGTACTTTAGTACTTCAGAAAACCTCACAACACTGGGAATATGCCAAAAAAAAACTTAATAGCAAACTAGTGCAAAGAACAGAATCTGTCCATGGGTTAATCTTCATTTTTATGGATACACTTAAAAAGCTAGTCCTTGATACTGTTTCCAAGGAGGGTTTATTTATTTCTTTAGTTTACTACTCGGAATTAATTAGCATATGCAGCATACCTTCATGATGTACTCCACCACTAAGCTTGTTTCCTGTCCCCCCAAAGCTAACGACTGCAGAAAGAACAAGACATAACAAAAATAGATACTTAATTTCCGTCAGCATTAACAATAAACCACTCAGGAACAGATGAATCGTCTAGGCTAGAGTACCTTCATGAAAATATCAAGATCTTCATCTGGTTTTATCCCTGACATCTTCTCTCTCCTTGCAAGTTCCATAAGCATATCTGTCACAGTCACCACGCTTTTACAGTCAGAATATATAGAAGTGCCAACAATTAGAGAGGCTTGAAGGGATGACTCGGAGGTTACCGAATTTGGACCCAACACCCTGACACCTTCCTGCTAATTCTAGGGTTTCCCTGACGGTCATCTCTGGAATATGCCTATCGTGTTGACTGACATAAGCTGATGTCCTTGGAGCAACGAACTCGGTCAGACCATGCCATTATACGTAATTTTCCCGGACACCTTCAGTGTAAAAACAGAGAAGTGAACAAGTGGAAAACCATTTCAAAAGAGGTAACTTCTACGATCATCCATGATGTACTGTTCTACCGACACTGAGTAACTGTGTAAAGCTATTTTTGCACAGAAGCAAAACAGCACATGCAATAGGAAGTTTAAATCATTCTCTATCCATATTTAACACGAAATAGTGACCTCTGTCTGCTACACTAGCACCACGTCAGCTCAGAAAAGTCTGCCTGCAACTGTTTCAGTTTCCATACTGATTGATAACGTAATGCAACCCGGATTACCTGCAAATCATTTCCAAGACGGCCAGCAAGAGCCAAGAGCAAAGTGGTCTTGCCAGAGCTAGGAGGTCCTAACAGAAGGGTCAGTCTGCAAAGCAAAACAGGAGAATTATGTGCTGCAACGCTGTGCTACCGGAAAAAAAAATATGCTGTAACGACTAGAGACAATTCTATACCTCGAAGGTCTAATGATCCCACTAAGATCATCTAAAATTGTTAACTTGGTTCTGTTTCCTCGATACATCCGCAGCGTCCTTAACAATGCCTGCTCAAACAGTAAACCCAACAGATTTCAGCATGAGATTAAACTGTAGCTGGTCCATTAATACACTTTTTTTACATTTAACCTCTTAATCCAAGCCACTTACCTCAGACATGTTGAAGATAAAGTTAGGGATGGTGGGAAGAGCCCTACTTCCCACATGGACATATGATTCAACCATCAAGTTCTGAAACCGCACTTCAATCTTGGGGAATTCCAATTCCACCCTGCGAAATGGACCCGTTTCAGGAAAATTTGATTAGTCAGCAAGTCACCACTAAGATCTATTCATGTACGAATCGGCCACCTAATTGAACCAACAAACAAGCGTTCCATAAATAAATCCGCTGTCGATTAACCGCTTAAGCGCGATTGCGCCATCAAAACAGAGTGGATTTGTCGTTTTCAGAAATTTAGGACCTGCAAATCTCGTTAGGACGGGTGGCGTGAGCTCATCCAAACAAACAGATAAACGCCAATTCCGGTATCTTTTTGTCCCTTTTCAGTCCATTTTTGTTGACCAGTAGACGATTTACGTTACGCCATAAACAGGAGAAAGGAAAATTGCACCTTACGGAACTTGTTTTTGAAAAAAAATTGGACCGACAATTTTCCTATCAAAACAAATTGTAACCAACTCGAAGCACAGAATTGAAACTCCGTAACCAGAATTCAGCAAGATCAGAAGCAAGAAATCAGAATGGCTATCCAAATCGAGACAGTACTCCATCAGAACGCAAGCAAACCGCAATTCGCAATGACAGAGAGCTGAGAGGGATGAGAATTGAGAAGAACAAGGAAGATGAAGAGAGAATTACGCGTCGAATCGCTTCCGCATCCGGTCGAAGAACAGCTCGGGGTCATCGTCCACGGCAGTAACCAGCCGCTCGAGAACCAGCCTCTGCTCATCGGCCTCGAGCTCGCTCACATCGATCTCCCTGTGATCGCCGACTACGTTCCTGAAAATAGCCCGTCGCACCCTCGCGTAGGTCGGCAGCCGCTCCAGCGCCGCCCAGCGCAGTGCCTCCTCGTCCTCGCCGTCCTCCCGGAACGACGACGACCGCGCAAACACATTCTCCGCCGAGCTCCACATACCTCAGATCTGGCCGCAACCGAAACCCTAGGAGCACCAGAGCAGGGCGCGCGCGCGCGCATACGAGATGAAAACCAAGAGGGATGAGAGAGATTAGCGGAAGCAATTACTCATTCGCAGCGGAGATTTCGCTGCTTTCCCTAGTGTGGTGATTGATTGTGTGTGGCGAATGAGCGAGTGTGAAGCGATCGTTAGCTACAGCCTACTTGTATAGTCCTCCAGCAGGATGGTGGTTGAGCTCGTCATTAATGGCGGTCATTTTCTTCACCCTCTCTCTCTCTCTCTCTCTCTCTCTCTCTCTCTCTCTCTGCTCCATTTTGTCAATTTTTGCCTCTTCTCAGAGTTGCGTTGCAAAGCGGTGGTAATGGTATATACACTCGTCGTAGCTGTTTATTTCTCGTTTTCTCTCTGAGTTTTCTCTTTCTTGAACGTTAAAGGGAGGCGCAGGGGAGGCTCATTAATAGCCGCGGGAAAGACAAACTATCCTTTCGAATTTGCGTTGAGTCCGCCACTCTCGTGGATGGTGAGTTCTGATCACTCGCGATGCTGGCCCTACACGTGTCACCAGATTTTGGCTGAGCCGCTGGGATGGATCTAGTGGGTTTTTGATGAAATTGGTGCGGCTGAGGGATTTGAATTGATAATTTTTGAAACGGTTGGGGGTATGGGAAAATGGGGGGACTTTCTGTTTTTCTTTTAAATACTTCTCCTACAAGATTTTGGCTGGAAATTATACAGCCAGACATCTTGGTATGAAAGGTTTATACTTGTTACAGCCAAAATTCACATATATACTTTTATACGCAATACCAATACCTAGTTTGGTAAATATTTGTACTGATTGTCGATTGATTTGATGAATTATGTGACTTCCACTTGGACTGGTTCTGGTTGATTTGATGAATTAAGTAACCATCATTCTTGGTGGAAATTTATGGCTTGGAAGAGTTCAAACTTTAAGTAGAAAAAGAGAGACTTAATAGGATTTAAAGCTCTTAGGAAAAATGTTTGGAAAAACAAGGAGGTCTTCAATGTTTGTAGAATCCATGGGTCTGTTTTGGATGTGCTTTTGTAAACTAATTTGGAATTTGCAATTTTATGGATTGAGAAAAGGAAATACGAGACGGAGGGACCAAACCACCCTTAAAACATTTTGAGGATGAATGACTCGAAAAAAATGAGATATTTCGAATTATTACTACTCCTCTTTGCAATTCAAATTACAACATATTAAAAAGTTGCAATTATTTTAACCGCCAAGTGAGCCATTCCAATCCAAATACTTTAATACGAGAATAAAAGTCCAATTATCTCACCGAAATACCTCATTCCAATGACCCTACACGCCAATTTGAAACTATCCATGACCCATCATCTTCCCCTGTAGTCCGTAGACCACCAAATTTGGGATGGATAGGTTGTATGTCACATGATTGGGGTGAGCATGTAGTACTTAGCATATGATAGAAGAGTGACATGCCTCCCTTGCACTAGTTAAAAGTTCAATTTTAACAAATTAGTCATCAAACTTCTTTCCCTTTGTAATAAAATGATTACTAGCTAGATCTAAGCTCATGTATTGTGTTGTTAACTAGTTAGATTAGACTCATACCGTTACCCCACTCAACATATATCAATTGGTGCAAAAATCACTTGTAATTGAATGTGACTCGAAAGTGAAATCTAAAAGGGATTTGGAAGGCATGTAACATGCATGGAAAATTCTAGCTACTTAACTTATTATGTTATTTTTTGTAAGAGAGTTTCCCCCTCAAAATGAAGGGACTATCATCCAAAACTAAGGTAAAACTCCGATCAAATTTGTCATCAATTCAACAAAATATCTAAATGGTAACGCTCATGCTTGACATCTTGTACAACAACTTGTATTGCTGAGATGAAGCGGTTCTAATACCCATTTGGATAGTTCATCACTGTTATATCAATCAGTAAAAAATTTGCATTTAATTGACTTTTGCGCAAACGTGAAATCAAGAAATCCTTCCCTGAAATGAATTCGAAGTGGTCTATAACATGCACAAAAATTTATATTAACTTCACGTGTTATGTATTTTGTTTAGGATAGTTAATTAAAAAAAAACAAAGAGACGACTCTCATCCAAAACGAAAGGTAAATTATCATCACATTTGTCAGCAATTCAGCCAATAAATCATAACGATAGGTAATTCAAAACACATATAATATGACAGATATCTTTAATTTTTATTGTATTTTGTTCTCGTGTCCGATGTGCTATGATGCTAATAAGATGTGGAGTTTAAGAACTCTTGTTACCCTTGTTGGAAGAAGGCCTGAGTCCGAACTGCTGAAGGAATCCGCACTGCACAAGGAGAAGGTGCGCGAAGGAAGGCTGGAGTTCAATTTAAGTTAAAGTTGTGTCGTTTTGGTGTTTTACAATTTGGTGACTGAAGTCTAAGTTTGTGTATGTTTGAGTCGGTTCCTGGTTTAGAGTTGCAATTGAGTCTGAACTTTCAGTTAGCTAGTTTGTAGGAACGTGGAGTCAATCATGGTTAGTGGGAAGCCTAGATTGACGGCTGAATCATTGTAATTATGATTCACAACGTTCATCTCAATAAAATTGCCAGTTTACAATGGGGTAAATGCCACATTTGGTCGCTGAGATTACTAAATCGTGTTATGTTTAGTCATTAGAAAAAATTAATATCAATTTTGGACACTCGAATTACTAAAATAGGTCACATTTAGTCACTCTCTCGTTAGCCTCCGTCCAACTCCGGTCACTCGAATTACTTTTTTTTTATGAATGTCACTCGAATTACTGAAACATGTCACATTTAGTCACTCTCCGTTAGCCTCCATCCAACTCCGTTAATGGAGTTGGACGGAAACTAACGGGAGAGTGACTAAATGTGATATATTTCAGTAATTCGAGTGACAAAAATTGATATTAATTTTTTCTAGTAACTAAACATGACATGATTATCTCAGTTACCAAATATGCCATTTACCCTATACAATACTTTTGAGATCACACCCCTATCCCTATCTTGGCTGACTTATAAACAAGTCCATTAATAGAAAAGAATGCAACATTGCAAGTCGGCAAGTAAGGTTTGTAAGTCTGAATTATGGAAAAAAATAAAAATTGCAAGTATGAATAAGTAAATCGGTAAATAATCGTAATTAATGAACCTACTGAGAAACCATGTGCCGTGTTTCCCTTCGCCGTCCATACTTATCAACTAGTGCGGACCAAAGAAGGGAAGATATCTGGGAAAACTTTACTTCTCCTCACTCTAATTTATTTTTTCTAATTGCATCAAACTTCAATATATTTTCCCCCCTTGATACAGATACATTTTTTATACATTTTAAGGCAATTTAAACTTCTTAAAGTTGTTATTGTGTTCCATTCCTATGAGTTCGCATCCAAATAACATATTATTTGTGGTGGCTCGCTAGATTATACACTTTGAATAGCATTCTCATTGGCCATTCTCGCAAGCAATACAAATTTTTGTTGACTGGTCTATACTTATCCGAATGAGCAAGATGTAAATAATTATTAAAATCGACCATAGGTGATTTACTGCTACAAAGGATTACAAAATTTCAATTTTTGTCATGTGTGTAAAATATATGTAACACATTATGCAAATTACACATCGACAAAACACGAGAGAGATATACGATTCGTAAGAAATATCCAACTTTAATGGATAAGACCCGCTTTGGGATGAAATGAATAAGTTCCTATAAGAATTATGAAGTTAAACGTTTTCCCTGTGCAGCAGTGCAAAGATCAATGACTTTTCGGGAACTCATCTTGATGCGTCCAAAAAACAGAACCGTGCAAGAGTAGCCTCAGAGCAAACAATATGTTGATGAGGAAAGAGTTGTGATGTTACAATATATTGTCCTTTTTAAAACGCTATATGTGATTACTTACCTTGATATGATAGTACAAGAGTTTCTAGAAATCTATCTTTTTCGAAATGTAAAATAGGACGTGGGTTCGTGTCTAGTTTGAGAACAACACAAAATCAACTACAAAGTCCTATGTTTAGCCGAATATTAGGTGGGAGAGGGGAGATTTGACTTGCAAGGCAATCCCCGTAGGGTAGTTTAATTTGGGCCTTGAAATTAGCTGGCCTGTGGGAGTTGGGGACATTAAATTGCCGCCTTATCGATCTTCTGGGTAACTCCTTCCTGCCCCAAACAACACATCTATGATCTACCGTCTTAACTCCTAAGGGCTCAATAATTATTAGTCCATATTTATGCATGTTTCAAGACCGATCATGGAGCTACAAACTATGGTTATAGCTTCCATTTCATGTCCATGTTAGGTACTTAGGCATTAGGTTTTTTTTTTTGGGTAGTTTGGATTAGGAATTTAAGGTGAGATTTCTCCACAATCCCACAGAATATGAGTTTTTGTCCAAATACAACATTTGGAAAGGACGTTACATGGAAATGTGGAATTTTGAAAATCCACAAATGTGAGTTTTCGAAAAACTACCCCCTAGCATTTCAAAAACTCACATGACTTTCTTCTTCCACCATCTCGTCTTTTTCCGGTCAACTCTTGCTGGCCCAGCTCTCCCATCGACTCTCCGACCGCCACACTCACGATCAGGGACGGACCCAAAACTAAGATAGGATTGTCCCCGTAAGTTTGGGGGAAAAACCCATCCCCAGTAGTAGTATGAGTCTAGGGAAAAAAGGAAGAACAAATGTATAATAACTGTTGGGTTTCAAACTCGGAACATTGTTATTATTACTGAACATCTTTACCATTAGATAACAATGAATTTTTTATAAGAATCCGGACATGATTATATTTATAGTTTAATCTCTAACTCCAATTATACTCAAAATCATTGGTCCTCCATGTGAGAAATGAAAAGCAGTTGGTCCTCCATTTCGAAATCATTGAAATCTTAAACATGGGGTAAGCCCAACGTGTGTGGCACCGTTCATTGCACAAAATCGGGTTTTGGAAGAGATTTTAGTGATCCTTAGTGGGGTACTCCTACAAGGTGAAGCTAAGCTGTCTCTAGTACAAGTAAAACTTCCACCCGTTGAGCGGTTTGCCTACTCGAGGATGTGTTTTTAAGGGCACGGATAGAGCTTCCGACCCCCCTTAATTCCATTGACCCTCCACACGAGTTGAGGAAAAGGAGTTAAAAGAAGTACCCTGGCGAGCGCCAGGTGTACAGAAATTGCTCTTGCTCGACTAATAAGGGTCGACCGTGCAAAAGACTGCAGTTGGAACCCCTGCTAAGCGAAAGAAAAAAAAAACAAGGAAAATGTAAATGAAAGTGAGAAAAAGGGGTTCCAACGGTGAAAGGAAGTGAAAAAACACCCCGGTACAACGAGTCCTTGGTTG